TATTCGCATTTGCATCTATAAATGATATGTAAGCATAATTATATGTATTACGAGAGAACGCATCCAAAACCAGAGACCGCTATATCCAAAACTTACAAAACTATTAGCCATTTCTCTTTAGGGAATCTGGTCCCTGTTGCGACAAAGCGTTCGAAGTTTGCATCTGTCAATTCCTTCACATGCGCACCGCTTACGGCAAGGCAGAGAGTGCATACAGCAGCTATTAACCAGTTCTGAACCCACATATTGTATATGTATATCTGAGGTATATGGAAGTTGAATACTTTAAAAATGTGTAGGTGTGAACACAAAGATCTGGGGATTGGACTGAGACAGGTACACTTGAATATGCCGTGTGTTATGCAAGTATAAAGCTCCTGTGACTCGTTCAATCTGCCTCTCGGAGCTCGGAGTTGCGTTTGAAATTATCAGATGTGTGCGTTCCGTATTATTATGATTTGGGAATTGGGGGCCGAGTGCCAACCTTGAACATAGATACTTATGTTTAAAAAAAACACTTTTAGTGGCCATAAACACAGAACGTACCGAACTTTCTGTGCCATTGACTAATTTTTAGACGCGAGCCACCACAATTGCAGCGAGCACTCGTTGGCCGTCCACATCTCATACAGTAAACCAACTAATATTTTAAGCTTATTTATTGGTGAAATTTAACACTAAATTTCAAAGTATGTAATCGGTGCGAATCTGATGGTTGCTGGATATATATCAATTCTATATTCGTAATTCCACATTCCGCAAATCTGGCACTCGGAACCTCAAGACCAAGTTCTCAGTTCTGTCGCTCTCTATTTTTTAAAGTAGCATTTTACAAAAACAAAATTATGCATTTATAGCTTCTCCAGTCTCCAGGTCCAATTTTATACCTCCTTGACTCTCCTATGTAAATATTTAATTACTGTATAAAGCTGCCTGCCGTGAGTCGTGGCTCGTGACAGTGCCACCGCGTGACAGTGGAGTCTGGACTCTGGTGCAGAGCCACAGACTGGCGACTGGTCGGCTGGCGGCTGGCCGCAATCCTTATTACATTATTTTTTTTCTAAAATAAAAAATTAACATTGCCTTCTAAATTAGACAAAATATATAATAATAAACGTCGACATCCATAAACTTGATTTTAGTGGGCTATTTTTAAAAATGCGACTTCTCCATTTTAGTGATCTCTCACGGCCGACGGGCCATTCCACTTTTAACACCAAAAAACAACTGTGTATTTCCAATTTCAAGCCCTCTGGAAGTCTGGATTGAGTCTCGGTGGAAAAGTTGCATCTTGGAGTCTGGGACTCGGAGACGCGGAGAGAAAGTCATTTTTCGAGAGACTTCATCCACAGGGAAGGGACAATGCCAATTTTATATTCATTTACCATCATGCTGTTGAAGTTTGGAACATTGCGTGTTTGCTCTTCTTGGCTGTGGCCGTGTCACGTGTGAGAAATATATATTTTCCTAAAACAGCCCAATACAAAAATAACAAATCGGGATTGAGATTTCATCGGGCACCTGATTTTTATTATCTATATATCAATTATTCCTCCGTGCCACAAATGCTCTCACTAGTGTCTCTCTTCGGCATTTAGCTTTAGATGGCGCCAGAAGTGACATTTCTGTATATATATATATATATTTGCAGTAAATACATGAGCTGTTAAGAAACTGGAGTGATTCATAGTCGGGATAGAACAAGATTAAATTGATATGTTCACTCCATGTAAATAGTCCAGAAAATATTCCACATAGGTCACAATGAATTGCGACAATCTAGTCTTTTATTCTGAAGATGTTTTCACTTTGTGCTGATTTATGGCAATATAATTGCTACTATATTGCTCAAACCTTTTATATATGTGCCTATGTACTTCAGGCATAGGATCAGGGGGGGAGAAGGTGGGAGGGAGGGGGGCCAAGAGAGAGGATGTATCTCGGATCGTTGCGATTGGTACTCAAACCTTTCAGTAATACGTAGTACAATAGATTGCAAAATGTAGTGCAATAAGCCCTACTATATTGCTCGAAAGTAAGTCTGCTTCGTCCCGTTGTTCCTCCGCCTCCCCTGTTCAGTGCGTCCATGCATGGCCTCGGGGGTGGCTCTACCTCGGATCGCTCACTTGTTTCTCTTGACTTACTATCTCAAAACCCATTTGACCATTATGTAATACAAAAAATTGTAAGATGTAGTGCAATGGCATTACTATGCTGCTCGAATGACAGTCTACCGACCTCTGGGCTTCTTCCGCCTCCCTGGTCCAGTGCGTTCGTGTATGGGCTCGGGGGTGGCTTTCCCGCGGGTTGTCCTCTTAGTTCTCCTGTCGGAATCTGTGTATATACATAAAGGTTGGGTGAGGTAAACAAAACGTATTGATATTCCTTTTCAGAGGTTCATACATCAAAATAGGCAACCAAGCAAACAAATATGGGTATTTCTGTATGAATAGGCATATGCATAAGACAGAAAGACAAACAAATAGATGTGAATCAAGCGGATTGACTCGCGTATCGTTTCAGGTCGTAGTGAACCAAAAAGAGCAGAGTGTAGCCTTATTTTTATGATACTAATGGGTTAGTCACCGGAATTGAGTAGTCAAAGCGTATATGAGGATTCATGATTGCCAAGCGTGCAGGGGAGGTATTTAAGGCATCAAACAATGAAGTTATACCTTATAAGAGAGGAAGAAGCTAGTGAGGTGTCAAGTCTGATTCCAAAGAGGGATTACCAAGTACTGTGCCACTCATGGGTGGGATGAAAAAAAAGCTCTTGTTGTCTTTGCAATCACAAAACATGCACTGAGACATACACTTACACTCGCAACAGTGAACAAAGTCGTATGCTAGTGTCGCGAGATCATCTATGTGCCAGTGTAAGTACTGACCGTGGTGACACGCACCGACATAAGAATAAAGACACATGAACCACACTCGAAATCATTCCTACACAACACCGTTTTCCGAATAGATACACCTAACACACCCAAGTTTTCCTTGAAGTGGTTCTACATACCCTCAGTTGGGGGCGGGTGTATTCGTTTCCGTTGGTGTCGTGATCCCACCTCAGTGTTCTTCGATGTGCTACTCGTGGCAGTCAGTGTATTGGGTGCAGCGGGAGATCCCGCATTTACCGTCCCGCTATTGTGTGGCTGACGCATCTCGAGGCCACAGTGGGCGGCTATTGCGGTATCGAAGGAATCTGGCAAATAGAATTCCTCTTCGGTAGGAACGGGTTCAGGCCATCGCGAGTCTAGATAGGCGTCCACAGGGTCTTCTTGGGCATCGTCCTGTTGACGGTATAAGGGATTAGTTCGTCACTAGTGGCAGAATGAGGGATCAATTCGGTCCCGGTTGTCTGTGCTTGAATCGACACGAACACAACGAAAGATAAAATTTGTGACGTGAAGTTTCGAAGGGTACGGTATTGAAAGACTTCCGAAATGTTCGAAGTATACAGAGCATTTACGCGCCAATGAAAGTTCTGAATGCCGTCGAGACTACCACAATAGGTAAATTTTTAAACGTAATGCTCGTATACACACTGATACACACTCGATTGACGATTTATATAACAACACAATGGATACATAGGTGAGAAATACTTCCAGGTTCAGTAGAAGTGATTGGAGCTCAGCGTAATTAGAATCGACTACATGCATTACAATATAAATGCATACTGAGAGGTATATATATATATATATATATATGTGTGTGTGTGTGTGTTTGTGTGTGTGTCTTATATATATATAT